GCCAACGTAAGTTTTACACTTTTTTATTATTAAACTTACAATTGACACGTGTAAAATTTTTTTATATTTTCCGGATGTTAAGCATGTGAAGGGCCATTGGGGTGTACTGTTTTTTGAGTTATATTTTTCTGGATTCTTGTATTCGTCTATATTTAGAACAAGCTTCTCGAGTGGATCAAGCTTTTTTATTTTCATTTTAATCAAGATAAGTCACTAATTATTATACCTGAAAAATAATGATCTTTATTGTTATATATGCATCAGAAATTTATACAATTTTTTATTGCAGAGCAATGATCCTTTGGATCTAGGCGATTCTCTGAATCATGGTTCTTCGAACCTATAACGATATACCCGACTCACTATTCGTATCTGGATACCAACCGACAATATCAAGAGCAGGATTTTTATTTTGCAATGTTATAATTGCATTGATACTAATTCTGTCGCATTCCTCAATATCGAGCTTCTGGAGATTACATAAATTTGCTAATGCAGTCATAGTTATATCGGTAATATTGCAACCTTCAAGATAAAGTTGTTCAAGATTTGGGCATGATCGCACTATTATACAAATGGAATCATCGGATATACAATTCCAACTAGCATTAAGATATTGGAGATCGGGACAACACTGAGCGATTTTTTTAACAGAAACATCGGAAATACCCTCATTATTAAATTTATCATATAAACCGTTTCCATTTGTAAAAGAAAAACTAAGCATATTTGGATATGAGGTGGCTATAATGCTAATTCCATAATCCGTCACTTTTTCACAATCGATCAAGTGGATATGTTGAAGGTTCGAACACAGATGAGCGATTTCTTTTAATGAGATATCAGTAATGTGGGCACCACCTATTTTGATATATTTTAACTTTTGACACGACTTGGCAATTTCTATAATAGAAATATCAGAGATGTATTCACTGGGAGGCATTCACTTTACCGACAATCACTTTACCGACGTATTATTTTACCGACAATCATTTTACCGAAAGT